GTTGTCGCCAAGACGTGGGGCTTTGACCGTGTGCTCTACATCTTCTCGGCGTGCTGCTTTATGGGTCTTCTCTTCTCGTTCTGGGTGCCGGAGACCAAGGGCCTCACGCTCGAAGAGCTCTCGGGTGAGCCAGCGCTGGCCATGCACTACGCCGAAGCAGCCACGCCGTACGCCAAGGAAAGCATCTAACAACACCATCGCCTACAGTGCAAAGCTGCAACACCATATCTTGATAATTCCATTTTCCTGGCCGATACAAAATCGACCAATACTGTATAAATATATTCTTATCTTGCCAAGAGATCAACTGCAGGTCATTCCATACCTGTTGTACAAGTTGTACTCGCAAAACGTGCCGAGTCAAGGATACTAGTAAGCAAAAGCACTGAGGTACTAACAACCCTAGTCCGACAGAGAGCAAAGGATTTCATATGATGTTCACACGTAGCTTTTGAATAGCGTGGATACTAACATACTCGGATACGCTGCACGCGTTGGCAACCGACTGCCGCCAGCGGGGGTTGGAAACAGAATAAAATACACTGGACATAAAGTTGCTGTTCCCAGCGAGTTCGTGGCCGTTCCTCAAATACCTTTTTGGCCAATCAGATCTCGTGCCACCCGCAAATCTTTGATTTGAGCCAATCCTGGCACGCGTTGCCCGTTCCGACCAGACGAACGCCACAGGATGCAGGAAGCATCCTCGTTGCATTTGCCAGGTGTCGCCATGGACGACCAGATCCAGGAGCTTGTCCGTAGCATCTACGCTGGCAGCGCCACGTCAGTCGTCTTTGAGGCCATGGACGTCGGTGTCCTCTCCAACGTCGTTCATGTCACCGTGACGCTGCCGACGCGCGTCGAGCACTTGATCGCCAAGTTCCCGCGCCCCGAGTTCCCGATGATGCACGCCATGTTTGCGGTCGAAGCGGCCTTTTACACGCGCACCGACAAGGCGAAAGTTCCGTTCCAGCTTCCACCGCTTTTGTCGGCCTCGGCGGACGCAATCGTCCTTCAAAAGCTCGCCAACGTCACCTCGTACTCGTGCTACGACGGGTGCCCACCAGCGCGCGTGCTGTCGATTCTCATGCAGCTCGCCACGCTGCACGCCGCGTACTGGGGCCAGTCGTTTCCGGAGCTGGCGGCGATTCCAGGCATTGGCGCCAACTTGAGCGTGCAAGAAAAGCAGACGCACTTTTGTACGCGCTACGCACCGTTCTATGCCGACCTCGGACTGCCGCCGACGACGCGCGCCGAGCTCGACCACCTCTGCAGCACCCTCGCGCAGGGCACGCGACTCACGCGCCTCCACGAAGCGGTAGAAAGCTGGCACAAGACACTCATCCACGGGGACTTACACGTGGCCAACATGCTCTTTGATGACCATCACATTGTGCTCTTGGACTGGGCCACGTGCGGCAGTAGCAACCCGCTGCGGGACGTCGCCTTCTTCTTTACCGTTAGCGTCACGCGCGCGGTGCGAGAAGCCGTGGAAGCGCCGAGTCTCCGCGCCTACGCGACGACTTTGGCCGACGCGATTCCTGCTCTGTCGATCGAGGCCATCGAGACCATGTACTACCTCTGCGTCCTCAACCAGTTTGTGATCCTCGTTGGCTACAATGCGCTCACGATGAGTCTCGCGACTCTCGGATCGACGCCGGCCAAGCAAGCGCAGCTCCGAGATGGCTTCCTCGAGACCAACAAGCGCAGCTGCGCCGCCGCGCTACACGCGTTCCAAATGCTCGCCCAGCACGCTTTGTTTCAATAAATACTGGAAAACATGGTCGGGTTTGGGGCTCGAAGTGGGGCGCAACACACGTAGCATCGCGAGATGAACGTCGTCGTTGTGCGAAGCAGATATTTATGGAAGCTTCGACGGGCGACATGACCTTGACGAGATATGGAGGCACCACCGGCACAGTAGACGACAATGTACGTTTCGGCAAAGGTACCTCGGCAACACTTGGATTTTAGCATGGCATGATAACTTATGGCTGAGAAACGGAAACAGTGCAAGGCAAAGTCAATGACGTGGCAGCCCGACGTGCGAGTGAGAAATGGACGGTGCTCAAGCAAGGAATTCGGCAATGTCGGCTGTGAGAGCCAGAGCGCTCTCTTCTATTGCTAGCGTGGCGAAAGACCCTGAGAGCAAGTACGGGTCGTAGCACACTGGCCACCGCGCCTATATCCCTTCATGCGGCAAGGCCATTTGGCAAGGTCGACAGTTCGATCCAGGTGGGCAAACGAGCAAAGTCGGGTAGTTGACTAGTAGATAATTACCAGGGCAATCTCGGTAGAAGGAACAGTCGCTCCAACGTACTAGTAAGTCTCAGGCGGTGGTCAGTCGACGTAATGAGCCTCCCGAGATGCAAGCACGTTCGTTCAACCTCCTTCGCCCTTGTGCGGGTCGCGCTGCCTGTGACGATAGCATCATTCTGCTATTTCCCGTGTCATGCGCAGTCATTTGCTGAGCTTTGTGAGCGCGCTTGTCGCGCTCGTGGCCGCCCAAACGATTGTGTTTCCAACGTCAGCGCCCGTCTCGTGCCCCGTGCCCGCGATTCGCCAGTCGTGGCTCAACATGACGGCGGCGGACCAGCAGACGTACCTCGACGCCGTCGGTATCGCGATGGACAAGGGCTATCACTTCAACTTTTTGCAAATTTTGTCCGAGTCCGACACGTACTACGAGTACTACTCGACGTGCGGGTGGGCGTACAGCAGCCGCCGCCTCCTCCTCGCCTACCAAAACATGCTGCGCAGCCTCGGCCCCGCGTACGCGTGCATTACGATTCCGTACTGGGACTACTTTGCCGACAATGCGCAAATCCAAACCGGCGCCTGCGACGGCACGCTGGGCAACTGCTCGGGGATTCTATCGAGCATGGGCGGCAACGCCGGGGCACCGACGACGCTCACGATCGACGGCATCCCCGTGAGTGGCGCCGCGACGACAAGTAGCCCACTCAACCGGTTCTGCGAGCTCTACAACATTAGCTGCTCCGGGTACGTGCCCCGGGGCCCCAACTGGAGCACCACAAGCTTCCCCGCCGGCTTTGGGTACGCGACGCTCGCCAACATGCTCAAGAAGGCGACGAGCTTTTACTCGTTCACGTTTGGCCTCAAGAATGGCATCCACAGTACGTGCACACATTGTCAATGGTCTTGTCGACCGGATACTATGTGACATGTGTAGACAGTATGCACTTGGCGCTGGGTGGTGTCATGGCCGACGCGAACCACACCATGGCGGACCCGCTCTTCTTTAGTCAGCAGTACGCTTATTGGACTATCGCCACGGTAGTTGCTGATCATGCTTGTAGCGCGGCGCTCGACATGATGGTGCAAGTGTACATCGAGTGCTACTTTGGGACCAACCGGACTGTCGAGAAGAAGCAAACCAGTCCGTGGGCGTTCTCTGTCTGCGCGCCGTCGATCGCTGAGATGCCACGTGCACCGCGCGTCACGTCCAACATCACGCAGCGCCTCCCGCAGTCGTTTGAAAATTACACGACGATTGTGGACGCGGCCGACCACCCCGTGATTGGCCAGTTCTTTGCGTCGACACCGACCGCCTACTTTTCGTACGTCGATGCGACGGACATGGGCGCCTTGAGCTACACCTACGAGAAGAACGTGCTCGTGTCAAGTCTCCTCGCCAACGGGTACATCTGCCCCATCAAGGTCTACAAACGCCGCCGCCTCGTCGACGACACCAGCCTTACTGCGAAGACGGCGGCCGCACGCTGGCCGAGAAACTCGCGCTACACGGCGGTCCAGCGCCTCAACAAGCTCCGTCGCCAGTTCTTGGCCAAGGCTATGACGTACACGTCGTACAAGCTGGACGCGGCGCTCGAGCTCTACGCGGCGGCTGAGTGCTTGATCGCCAACACTCGGACGCCAGCGGTCGCCACGACCGGCATCTTCTCCACTAAGCCGATGGCGATTTTCACCAGTGCGTCGACGACGCCCGTGACGGAGACGGTGTCGGCGCCCTGCAGCTCGCCCGCCCTCACGCTCCTCGGCAGATCGGCGAATGCATTTGAGCTTCGTGACTACATGCTTCGTTTCGTCAAGCGCACCAGCACGATCACGTAGCCGACGACGTGCTATCTGACAGACCATTATTCTGTGTCGACCCCCACCGATCGAAGGTATCCTGCATGCACTTAATGTCTGTGTAACGAGTAAATACACGCTACGAGTTGCCTCGGCATCATGGGCACTGGCATGGCAAGGGTGGAGCAAGTGCAACCGTCTGACGACGTGTAGACCACCCCCCACACAGACAATACTGTGCAAGATAGATAGATAGATAGATAGATAGATAGATAGATAGATAGATAGATAGATAGATAGATAGATAGATAGATAGATAGATAGATAGATAGATAGA